GTAACTGCACCACATGTAAAGAACCACTCACACTAGAACACCTCTTTAACACATGCCCCACATACCAACAAGAAGGGAGGTACATGCAAAATAAACTCAAAGAAATTAAAGCACCAACAACATACCCAGAATTCCTTTGTGAGGAAAAAATACAAACCTGGAAACAACATACAACATAATACTCAAATTCCTACAAGAAATAGACAAAACCGACCAAATTTAAGACCAAATTACAAAACGTTTCAGCACAACCCAAACACAAATAAAACACACTTGCACCAATCAATCTACATCATATACCACGGAAACAAAAACACAACAAACAAAACCCATTTAACTCCACACCCTGATATAATTCTCCTCTCCTCCAATTCTATCATTCTCCACTTCCTACACTTCTTATTCCTTTTCTTTTTCTCCTCCTTTCCTACCACTCCACCTTCCTTTTTATTTTTCCAGAAAAAAACAGTAGAAGAAGCAGAACAACTAACCAGGCAGCAACATCAGAACAACAAGAAAACCATAAAAAAGGAGGAAACGACGAAAACCGCAAGAACACCAACAACAACACCGCAAAGCAGAGAGGGAAAAACTAACATCAAAGACAACAAAAAACAGGTACAACCTCTGGAAACACAGAAAAGATATATAACAGAAAAGCCAACAGAGGCATAAAAAAACCTCTGAGCAATGAAAAGAAAAATTAACGAAAAAGAGCCAAATGCCACCATGAAAACCAAAAGATGCATAAACACATATAGCCAACAAACAAGTTAAGGGTGACTAGAAAGCACTGCTAGCCACCCACAAAAATCCCCATCCCCAAATAAAACAAATCATCCAAAGCCAACAAATTAGGGAGAAATTAAGGAAAATAACTTAAACTCCCAATAACCCAACCCCGCACACAAAAAATAACAAAAGCACCCACTCACAGAAATAAGAGGAAGTTGAAGAGTCCCCACTTCGACCACTCAACCAATCAAAACTTAAACCCCAAAACCCCATACCAAGACACAAAAAAACACCATTAAGGTGTAGAACGAACAAAGCGAAAAAGGGACAGTCCAGAACAAAAAAACCCTCCCCTCTGCTGTCCCATAAACCCTCCCCGCAAGCAATACAGTCCGGGCCGCGCGGCCAACTGTAAATAAGCAAAAAACAAAACTCAGTCTTCACTTTGGCAAAAGAAGACCACCATTCCAACATGATCCTTTGGAAAGGCGATCAAAAATCAAATCCAAATATTTTTAAACATGCGGAAACAAAAAAATTAAAAGGGTAATTCACACCCAACAGATTGGAAAAACTTTTTAGAACCATATAAGTACGCTAAGTACACAAAATTCAAAACAACAAAAACATTCCAAAACCACAACTCCGGAATATTTGGCAAATTGCAAAGGTGGCTAACACAACATTGGCATAAAGAATCCCGTAGAAAAAACTGGAAAAAATTTGATCAAGTAAAACCCACCTAACTGAAATAAATTTAGGTGGGAAATGGATGACTTGTGATGTGCAGGAGAGCAACCCGGGTAGGAGGCCTGGTTGCGGGCCTGCTATTGGAGAGCGACAAGGTGCGTTCGATTGGATACGCTTCACATATTTCCAGAAGGTCCAGCTCGGGACCAAGCGCCCTGTTAAAGGGACATACGACCAGCTCGGGGCCACAACCAGTCGCACGAATGCCGATCAGGCAGTAAGCGATTATAATCCAAAGCGCTGTTAGGGGATGTTTTCCATCCCGTCCGTGCTCCACAAATATAAACGCGAGCGCACGTCAGTCTAGTTATATAGGATTGAAAATTTTGGCTTTTATCATCCAATCAAAACTGACGAGACAACAACCTTATAATTTCGAATCATCCAATATTACTAAATCAACAATGCAATAATCATGAAGAAAGGACTTAGGACCTCATAGGGGAAAGAGGGGACCCAACATCAAAAGAGACGCCTACAACAAACTATCAACAAGAACAATTCATCAATATCAAATAAATGGATTCAATAAGCCTGTATCGGAACCCTAATAATCCTTCCCCGCATATAAACATATACATAACTGCAAGCACCATACCTAGTCCATAACACAAAACAGGCGCTAGGACTCATACTAGCACAAGCCTGGGTGGATCCTAACTCCTATAAGCACTATATAGGATAAGATTTCCAACCATGACAAGGACAAAAAGGTCAGGGCCGATAAGGGAAAATCAGGAACCTCCCACCTGATAGCCCTAACTCCCAGGAGCGGAGTAGACCGATTAGCAATTAGCAATGGACAGTCCGGGCCGCGCGGCCAACTGTCCGAAAATAAGACTACAAACTATGTCTTCACTTTGGCCTGGAAGACCCAAGATTAAAACGAGATCCTTTGGAAAGGCGGTCAAAATTAAAAACCAAACATTGTCAAAGCGGTGATAAATGTCAAAATTAGGTAACATGCACATAGAGATTGATTTCTTTTCTTAGAACCATATAAGTACGCTAAGTACGCAAAATTCAACCTCATCAAAATATATTCAAAATTCACAACTCAGGAACATTTGGATAATTGAATAGGTGGCTAACACATCATTGATATAGGGATACCCGTAGGAAAAACTGGTTAAATTTGACAATAATCCACCTGAGATAACGTTAGGTGAACTTAGACATTGGGATGACTTTAGTAGGCGGGAGTTGAGGCGGAAGGCCGGTACGCTCTGTTACAATACGCAGCCAACCAAAGGGTCCTAAGGTCAGCGAATAAAGGTCAGCACCACGACCAAAAGCACAGCCATAGGGCTAAGCGCCTCTCTGGATAGCAATGTTACCAAAAGGTAACATCCGGCTAAGGCGGTGAGCCACCAGGGGGGGTTAATAGGTCCACGCGTTGGGGCAAAAGTGTCTAGCACTGAGACAGGGGTGAGCCCTGCCTCTGAAGGAGGGGAGGCCACTAGCACTTTTCAGGGCTTTAACCAGTTATAATAGACGAAAGTGGACACATGACTATAATAAAAGATCGGACCAGTCTAGCTATCGAGTCAGCAGTCAGGTAGAGCAGTGAGCAGTTAAGAGTCGATTCGCAGTCAGCCTTCAAAGAGGACGGACGTGTTTTTAGGAGCTCCCGGAGAACAAAGGAAAAAGAAGAAGAAAGAAGAACAAAGAAAAGGAAAGAAGATCAAAGAGAAGAAAGAAGTTACAGGAGAAAGAAAAGGACGAATGAATTTTTTACTATTTACGCTAAATAGTAAAAAAGAGGATTTTACAAGAAGAAAAGAAGAAAGAAGGTCGCTGTTGTTACAGTATTTATTTATAAATAATGTAATTCCACTGTTGTTTTAAAGGCAGTGGAGAAGTAAAAAGATTATTCATTTTGCCATACACTTGGCTCTTTTTGGCTTTGAGCCCTCATTGGGTATATAACTTAACAGGTGGCCATTAAAAGAATGATTGGTTTTAATTTTTTTCCAACAGCCCAACTACCTAATTAAGATCTCAAACTTCCCAGGGTAAGAAATACCCATCCAAATTTGACATTCTTTTCGGGCATCAAAAAGTCCGCACAGTACACAAAAACAAGAACCAAAAACATAATAGGAAATTCCACAACTCATATTTATTTGAAATATGTGACTCACACATGTTTGGCAGATAGTTAGGAACTCCCACCTCCACTAGACAACGGGAAACGATAGATCACTAATCATTAATGATAGGGTGTACACGACATTCAACGCCAAGATGGACTAAAGGGACTGCGGGAAGCAGGAGGATAGACGGAACGAAGCAACAACAAAGAGGGAAAGCGCCCCGGGCCACCTACTCACACAAAGAAAAGATTACAAATCTCAATTGCCATTTAGTGTGAAGTGGACCTGGGGTATGAACTACGACACTACAGAACCCGGAAGCGGTGAGGCTCTTCGGTACTTCCCTTTCCTGCCATCCCAGTCTCATTAGCTTCCTCAGGAAGCCCATGTGAAAATTGTTCGCCTTTTTGGCACGGCGTCTTTATCTCTCCTAAGATTTTTGAGTTCTATGGTGATAGGTAGAAAATTCAAACAATTGATACCTATATCATGCATAACGTAATGGAAAATTCCAGACATAAAATTTGATCCTTGATCAGATAGATTTGGGAAGGTCAAAACTAAAGAAAAATATTTATCAAGATTTTACTATGGTTTTAATCGTAATATTCCTCAAAAAAGTTTTCCTCTGTAAATCTTGCTGATGTACACATTATGGTCAACAAGTTTTGGTTGCCTGAGTTGGTCTTAGGTAAGGGACCGATACAGTCTGATTATTCACTTAAATGGTTCGTCAAATGCAGGAATAGGTAAAAATCTTCTGGCTGGGTTTGCCCATCATTTGATAAATGGTACAAAATCTACAGCATTTAGAAAAAGTAGCCAATACAAACTATTCAAGATTTTGTGATAAGTCTAGCTGACTCCAATATGACCACCTAACGAAGTTTCACGAGCTGGACTATGAATGTCCTGTCGATATAACTTAGCAACAACAATCTGATATCTCACTAACTGCTTCTCACTAGCGGGTGCATCAGATTATCTCAATTTGCTCATAAGGACCCTATTTTTTTTACACAAAAAAACAACTGTTACTTATATTGATTCACTTTTGCTAATATCAGTCTTTAATACAAAAATCTCATTATCTCGTTCATGTTTGGCCAAAGGCGTTTGTCATTTATCACATTGATTGGAAAAAGCATAACATATCTTGTAGAGAAAAAATATATGGTAAAAAGAAGAGCAAAGGAAGGGATAACGAAACGTAACATACACGAAAAGAAGGTCAATATAACTTTTATTTGTGTCCAAAATGTCACCCAGAACCAGATGCTGTTGTTAACATCATGAAATGAAAATTTCCTGTGTAAAATAATAGCTTGAGGGTGTATCGCTTGTACTTATTGTTTATCTCAATAACATGATCAACAAGATATAAAGATTGCTCACATTTTATTTAAAACTGGACCGCTCATGTGGCCTAGTACTTAGAGCGTCCGCCTTGGATGTGGGAGGTCGTGGGTTCAATCCCCGGTCCAGTCTAAATAAAGACTTACAATAATGGTATTAATAGTTGCCTCGCTTGTTGCTCAGCATTAAGAGGTTAGTGTTAGGACTGGTTGGCCTGGTGTCAGGATAATACGAATGGGTGGGACATCATACTACATGTCTAAGACATGATGCCCCAGTGTTAGACATCACTAAAAACTGCCACACTGCAGACATGGTAGCGATATACTAAAAAATTGTTAAAGCTACGTTTAAAATACAAATCACATCACATAACACATTTAAAACTGAAAATCTAATTAGACTTCTTCACTCATAACTTCTCAATGTGTCATATTTTAGGGGTGGTCAACTCTATTAATATTTTGATCATATCTATTTTTAAGCAAATGCTCTATGTCATTGCTCAAATTTATGTCAACGCTCTATTTCAATGCTCAAATTATCATAGATTGCTGCATCATGACCTAAGGTCTTGTCACACAACACACTTTCATGGTCCAATTGTAAAGGTCGGCGTCACACTTCATGGTTAGGCTGTAGTTATGTAGCTGTTAAATCAATGGAACATTTTTGATTTTGATTTTGTGTCTTGTATCGAGATCCTATCTGCAAAATTTAGAACACGTTTATCTCAAGTTTACTTATTTTGTGACATCATAGTTGTTACTTAAAGCCATTAAAACAAAATCTATTCAACATTGTACAATCTCACATCTTGACTTATTGCGACTTCCATAGTCGACCGCTCTGGTGGTGTAGTTTTCTAGTCCTCCTCAGATGCGGGAGGTCGCGGGTACAAACCCAGGCCGAGTCATACCAAAGACTTACAAAAATTGTACTAACAACTGCCTCGCTATGCGTTCAGCATCAAGAGCTTTGTGTTAGGACTGGTTGGTCTGGTGTCAAGATACTGTAACTTGGTGGGACAGCATGCTGTATGTCTGCGGCATGATCCCCCAGACATCACTATAAACTATCGCAATACAGATATCGTAGCGAAAAGACTGAAATCTTTTTTTTTTAAAGCTACGTTAAAAATCCAAAACGCACACACTTTCATAGTCTTAGCCAAAACATTACGACCAATAAACATACATTCCTTGCCAAGTCTTGAACTAAAACGCAGCGTTTAGAGACAAGAAACTGAATATCAATTATAAATCTGACTGTGTTCCATGGTTCGATTTAAATCTTACAGTTTTTATAGCTCTGAAGCTGTTCAAGGTTAGGAAGAATGTATGTGTATTTACACAGAGTGTTGCATACCATGATTCATATCATACCCATAGGTCAAGGTCAAAGAAAGGACACTTCTAGTGTCATGTTAAATTATAATATGACTACTAATTTGTTTTACATCCATCTTATATTGGGATAAAATTTGTCAAGGCTATCCATCCTTCTGTTAATATTTATTTGTCGAACCCATAACTTTGTGACTGCTGAAGAAATTTCATTAAATTTTACCTACGTACATATCATAACTATACAATGTGTCACATGCCATGCACAAGCTCCTCTCCCGCCACTAATAAGAAATTCAAACAACTAACTAATCTGAGTAAAATATAATGTTTTTGCGAATAACAAATACGCACGTAAAAACATGCACACAATCCTCTTAACGTGTTTGTATGGATTTCAATAAAATCATCAGAAACGAGGTAATTTTTAAATTCAGATTAATATTTCGAGGTTTGAAAACACTGTAAATTCATAATTGCAACCTATGGCCTTTCAGATACCAACATACTGAGTTTTCGCTCATGACTGGAAAAAAAATTATGAAGAAAATACCTCATTAACAAATTACGTTATCTGTATGCTCTATCGTGCCCATTTTCATACTTTGGATAGTATAGTTGTATCCATGACGTACGAAGATGTATTAGTGTTATATCTGAGGATTTCGCATGTCACAGAAAAAGCAGTCATATCAAAGAACTTCCGGTGGAGCGGGTGGGATCACTTTTCTCTGTTGTAAAAATATCAGAGTACAGGGCCAAAGGGGGGGGGGACAACGGATATATCACCGGAGCCCGAGCCAAATAGCGCTTTTTAAGTTTAAAAAAGAAAACTTTTGTTTGAACAAGAACTAGAAGATGCCCGGGTGTTTCTTACCCCAAGGCACGTGATCGCTCTCTACGGCCCTGTCTAAGTATTATTATTATTTTCCCTACCGCCAAGGTTTAAGAAAAAAAAAAATCAAGCCTAGACTTCTTCAAATAAATCTCACATGAAGGGAGGAATCACATTCACGTAATCTCTTCCACTTAAACCATTGCTGACCAGATAGATTAAAGTAAACTGTAATACTTCAGCACATGCTAATTTGCAAGTTACAAAAGTAAAAAGGTGCATAAACATGCACAGCACTTCCGCTCATAGCTTCATTAGTTACATAAATCCAAATCAGTGGTAAAGAATGTTATTGATTTAGATCCTGGTTTCCAGACTGAATTCCATATGGTCGAAGATGGTAGATGTAGAAATCAAGGTCATACATTTTCTGCGGACTCACGTAGTGGAATGTTATTGCATAGTCACTGATATTGTCTATTCCCTGAAGATAAAAAAGATAAAATACAAATAGTTTAGTATGAAAGCATTGACAAGCGCTCCCTCTCCCCGTCATTAGTCATCCTTAAATAAGAAATTTACGAGGGAAGGTAATAAAAAAAGAAGTAGTCATTTAAAAATATATACAGATTGGAAATTATGCTTTAAATGAAGCCAGCTTGGTAGAATATCGAAAAGACCCCCCCCAATATATATATATATATATATATATATATATATATATATATATATATATATATATATATATATATATATATATATATTTTTTTTTTCTTGGAGCTATTCCTAATGTCTGAAGACCCTGAGGACGATGGGATCTTAAAGACGGCTTTGTATATAGACAAATGAGAGTTAAATATAGAACTGAGACAAAAATAATGTTATATTTTGTCTGAAGTAATTTTTAGACTTAAAAAAAAATATGCACGAAAAAGAATGAAATAAATTAGCTAAATATTGTTTGATAAATATTCTCCATTTTGTACACCCGTTTGAAATACGTACTGGCTAAGAAATGACCCCCTGCAGTATCCGTGGCCCGAATAACCTGTGACATAGTGAGTTCAACGCAGTGGCGTCACTAGGTTTGGTGTCACCCCCATACCTCCTTTCTGCACAAAAATTCAAAACTTGTATAGACAGTCATGTGCGGTAACAAATGGTGTCACCCTCATGCACAAAAATTATAATCTTTATAGACAGTAATTTTAGTGTCACCCCCTCTGATCGTGTCACCTTGAGAGGTCCGCACACCCACCTCCCAGTGACGCTTATGGTTGAACGGAGCCATCTCCTTTACACGAGTTGCGTTCCAGCATGGACGACGTTGCGTTGTAGGACTCACGGAACAAATTTAGCTCCCATAGCAAACTCATGCAAACACTATGATATTAAAAATTCAATAACTTTAAATTTATGTGTGCTCATGATCAAACCTACATTTATTAGTATAGATGAAACATGGATGCCAGCTTTTTTGTAGAGAAAAAGATATGAGCCACGGCATTGTGCTTGAAACATGTGCTTTCAAATCCGCACCAAAGAGTCAGGTGACAATTTCAGTAATGAGTGTTCCAAATTCAAGACTGTTAAAGGACTGAGATTCCATCAATAAAACAATATCTCTATTTTTTCAGTTACAACTACGATAAGCTCTCACAACATTCTTTTTCCTAAAATTAACTTACATTATTAACCAATCATGCCCAGGCAAACACATATACACGTTATTTAATGTTCTCCGATTTCCAGACTGGTTCCAATTTTTCGATATAATTAGTACCGTGTGTCCTTGAAATGAATGAAGAAACGCTGGTCAGCAAGAAAGAACCCAGTGATTGTTTTTCTCTTTTTTTTTATTTGCTCTGAGTCTTACGACACCACCTCGTGCTCTGATCTCGTACACATTGTTACTTATTGAGTTGTAAGTATAAAAGAAAATAGCTAATTCCCTTCTAATCATTTGTCCTTTAAAAGTTGAAGGTCTCATGCACACAACATCGCCACGTCCGAAAATGAGAAAGACACATATCACAGGTTTATGACGTTGTTTGTTATTGCTGTTGTGGGCACATGATGGGCCATATATGACTGCCAGTATGTTTGGTAGAGGAATAACCCTGACAGACAGAGGTGAAAAGTCCGTTATCTGTAAAGTCTTAGACCACTCGGCTACCTGGAAATTCCTGTACACGACTTAAGCTTCAGGCTAGATATGGTGGAAATCAAGAAAATAGTATATTCAAAGTGAAGAATGGTTCTTAAACAATCCTTCTAATAAATAGATCCGAAGATAAAGCTATAATAAGAGACATGGTTTCACGCACAGACAATGATTCCTTTCGGGTTACGAGTGAAACTTTTTAGTGATCTAAGAGAACGTTTCTTTTCTTGAATCTTAACCATCACTATCTGCAAATAACATATCACCTAATTCTTTACTGTTTAATTTTTACAGGTGTTATTTTTTGTTATCCTCCATATTATGTTTAAATGGTAAAATAATGCCTTACTTAATTATTACTTAATATGTATTATACATGAAATAAACCTAAATTAATTCATCCAGAGATATACGTGATTTCATTTTTTTTAAATGGTAAAATAATGCCTTACTTAATTATTACTTAATAATATGTATTATACATGAAATAAACCTAAATTAATTCGTCCATAGATATGCGTGATTTCAGTTTTTTTTAAATGGCAAAATAATGCCTTACTTAATTATTACTTAATAATATGTATTATACATGAAATAAACCTAAATTAATTCGTCCATAGATATGCGTGATTTCAATTTTTTTAAATGGTAAAATAATGCCTTACTTAATTATTACTTAATATGTATTATACATGAAATAAACCTAAATTAATTCGTCCATAGATATGCGTGATTTCAGTTTTTTTAAATGGTAAAATAATGCCTTACTTAATTATTACTTAATAATA